GTTGGATAGATCACATGTTGTGATTCATTGACAGTCATACCTTCTGCTGTTCAAGATAATGATGACTGGTAGAAAATTAGTTATTAGTGGTACTGTATTTTAATTTTAGAAAGCGTAAATCCATTTATGAATTATAAAAATTAGTAAGACCGCTAAAGTGCAAACATAATATTTAGGTCCGCAATTAGTGGATTTGCACTTTAGCGGGCTGGTGCCCACCACTGCTATAAATGTTATTAATTAGACATAGACATGTGTGGTGTCTACAGAAACATCAGAGTCTTGGCTAAAAGTTGGTAAAAACAGTTTTATGAACACTCAAGACTACAAGCAGTTTACGATAAAACTAGGAGAAGTTTTGAAAATGTGGGAAGTGAGAGATGTCAAATAATGTTTGTGTTAAATAGGAGGCAAAATAAACTAGTCTAAAGGTAACAGATCTGTGTAATACTTGGTTTATTTAATTGCTGGATGTTCCCTGACTGTAACTGTGGCCCCCGAGCAGCTTAGCTGAATAGTCCTCTCTAAGCCCATGTCGTGGGCTGAATCAATGAAGGGGGGGCACCCCTCTTACTGGCTGTGGTCTAACCTTTGTTTTCACCTTAGAGAACAAGCACCAGTGTAACCAGTGCAGAAAGTTCTTCTACAGCCCTGAGGCAGATCATTTGCCTCCAGCATTTTTAMTTATCAACTTACAGATTATTGCAGGAATAGTTTCAGCCTCTGCAGTCGTCCACTCCTCTGAACCTCTGGAGTTAGACTTTTTAACTGATCCAGCAGGTTTCTGTTGCTGAACAGTGGATCTGTCAAACTGGGTGCTTCGTTTACTTTGTGTCCTCTCAGGTCTTAAACTTAATGTTAAAGTCAAACTTTACTTTGCTCATTTAAATATTTGTCTCCTAATGAGGAGAACTGGTCTGAATTCAGAGCTTTTCTTTTAGTGTCTTCAGTCCTATCATCAGGAACAGAGCAGTTACTGTAAATYCTGCAAAAGCTGTGCCAATTAAAGAGAAGTACAGGAAATCCTAGAAAATATTCACCATAGATTGTGAGTCGTATTTAGCATCATTCAATGTTTTTCTTTATTTGCTGAAAGTAATAAAAACAACAGATTTTGTTTTTTGCAGGGATGTACTTGGTATCAAAGTACATCAGAACAAAGACAGACAGCGTGGTGATCTTCTCTGGAGAGGGTTCTGATGAGCTGACTCAGGGATATATTTACTTCCACAAAGTAAGTACTGCAGAAACCAGCCTGTGCTTCACCGTTTTAAACGCTGTTTTAATTTGCTTCATTAATTTCTTTAGATATTTACATGAGTCTTCATTTTATCTAAATAAATTAATATTTGTCCAAATTCACAGTTCAGTTTGACTTTCAGAAATGAACATTACATTTCTATAATAATCAAATGTGTAGGATTATTTACACGTGTACTGTCAGTAACATACCTCAGAGCTGAACGTCTATTTTTAATGTTCTGATTTACAAAACATTTAAAACTCTGAAAGAAACTGTTTCTGCTTCCACGTGTGCTTATTGTAGAGAGTAGGGTTGTAGTGACATGTATTTGTACCCACATGTATCTGTACTGGCACATGTATTTGTACCCACATGTATCTGTACTGGCACATGTATTTGTACTCACATGTATCTGTACTGGTACATGTATTTGTACCAACATGTATCTGTACTGGTACATGTATTTGTACCAACATGTATCTGTACTGGTACATGTATTTGCACCAACATGTATCTGTACTGGTACATGTATTTGCACCAACATGTATCTGTACTGGTACATGTATTTGTACCCACATGTATCTGTACTGGTACATGTATTTGTACCAACATGTATCTGTACTGGTACATGTATTTGTACCAACAACATGTACTGAA